ACCCCTCAATCACATCGCCCCTCTCGTTAATCAATCGCCGTCTCCTTCCCGTCGCCTCTCACACTCCCTCCTCTTCGCCGGCGCGCCACCACGAGCAGGAACCCGAGAGCTTCCCGCCGTCGCTGCTACTCCACCCTGCAAAGACTCGGCGACCACCGCCCCTGCTGCAACTCGCCGTCGCTGCAACTTCCGGCGGTCACCATCACCGCCTACTCGCGAGTTCATCCTCCGCACACAGGTCCGCCTCCGCCCCCCTTGCGATCCCCCGGCAAGGGGCAGCTTCCCGCCGTTGCTGCCCTCAACCCACCGGCGACTTCCTGTCTGCGAGCAGGCCCCTTCCGGCGAACCTCCGCCTGCAACGCCTCCTCGCCGTGAACCTGCTCTGCCGCGAAGCACCCTCCGTGAACAGGCCTGCAACCCCGACGACGAGCCTTTTCATCCTCTGCCCGTGAGCCCGTCCTCCGCCGCCCACAACCACCGCGAGCAGACCCGTCTTTCTCTGCTTGTTTTCTGGCGACCACACCTGCAACTCCGGGCCCTCCTCCGCGAACGACGAGCCTCACCACAGCGGCATCCTTTATCGCTGTGAGCCGTTGTCCACAAGCCGCTGCTCCTCCTCGATCGCCTCTCCGCCGATGCTCCTCCATGAGTCCACCGGCGAGCCGAGCCTAAGCCGTCGACCCGTCGTGCCGTTCGCATCCGTTCGAACCATTCTCGCGTTTCCCGAGAACGGTATCGAGCCTCGATCCTTCTTGCGTTATTCACGTGTTTATTTGATGTGTTAATCGTGCCCGATGAATTATATATGAAGTGTATTTGATGTGTACATGTGATATGATCATTGTCGATTGTGATGAATATGTTGGGCCATGCTTAATCGAATTATGTGTCATCTCGTCGATTCGTTGAATTGAACGAGAACTCGTTATAAGTGATTAGTTGCTGTGGATTTAGGAACCTAGGATTATTTCGAACACAATGGCATTGGCCTTGTGTCGATTGGAGGTGTATATTTGCCGTTATGATTTTTCGAAGTTTATAATGGCTGTTTTGAATGAAAAATTCACTATAAATTGAATACTAATCCGATTACCTTGAACTTTTAGGAGCAGCTGTTTTTGATGAATATGTAGCTGCTGTAAAAGTTTCGTGATTTTTGAAGGTCTGAAACTATTTTTAAAAATTATTTTGATTTCTATTCAATTTCTTGTGAAATGCATAATTAATTGTGTAGTGCTCTTTTCTGGCCAATTTTCGAATATATGATGTCTCAGGCATGATTATATGTTGTATAAAAGGTTTAGAATTTTTAGACTAGGTTTGATAGGGTTAATGATTTAATTGGTGTTTCTGCCCGAATTTGTTTTAATTATAATAAATTGTTCTGAAGCTGAAAAATTCTAAAAATTTATGCAGGTGCTTATTATGTGATGTTTACCATGCTGTACAAACTTTAGAATTTTTGGAGTTCAGTTGCGATCAGTTTTGATATAATTGCGATATTTGGCTGAATGTAGTTTTAATTTTATAAATTGATATACTAAGTGTTGAAGGCTGATAAATTCATGTGTTACTGTTCACATGCTGTAGTATTTTAGATAAAAATTTCATAGCCTGAATCGTCCATTATCATGTGCTTTTAATTTAAACTCGTTTTTGTTGAAAAACTTGTTTGAATTTTATAAAATTATGCATAAGGAGTTTGAAGCTGAAATTGGGTGGTCTTACTTAGAACTGAGATGTAAAATTTATGTAAAAGTTTCAGAACCTAACTCATTGATTTGATACACCTTCTAATTCAAGTGTGAATTTGAGAAATTGTTTTTCTATATTGAAATTTGTTAAGTGTTGTTGACAAATGTGCCATGTGTTTACTTGTGGCTCGTTTGTCTATCTTTTGTTTGCATTTATGTGAACTTGAATGTGTGGTTTGATCGAGTCTAAGTCCTAGTGTTCCCATATCCACAGAACTTCACGAACCACTTGGTCGAACCGAGTTCGGCTAAATCAATTGTGAATTTTTTTACATAGGTCTAGATTAAAGTGTTGACTTTAGTATCTGGACTTAATGTAGGTGCCTAGAGGTGTTGACCTCGCCTCATCTCGATATTTGTGATTTGAACTGTAGCTGCTATCAGGTGGGTACATTTATGATGTATTCCATAATTATCGCACTTATTAGTTCGTGTAATGTTTCTTTGAAAATTTTTGTATGCATGAGAACTCTAGTCTAAGTGTCCCGAACGCTAGTGCCTTGATGAATGCGAAAGCAGTAGGAGGTCGCCTGCCCGTTGTATCCGGGAGGGATGCCCCATGCCGTCGTATCCGGAAGGGGAAAAACATCTCTGCTGTCTCCTGGAAAGGATCCTGCGAACCGTTGTGCCCGAGGGTGGGAATGTTTCTAGTTACAGCCATGTCGTTGTATCCGGAAGGTTGTTGTATGTACATAGGAGGTTTGCGATAGGGCTGGGTAGGGGGTTTAGGCTATGAATTCTGTGCATACCGATACTGATACTGTTTTGCCATGATACTGCTTTTAAAAATAATTATACGGGATAACTGTGCGGTAATGGTGAGCTTGTTGGTTGCTCACCCCCATTGTTCTCTGTTGTTGTCTCCTCTTCCATTCTTTAGGTTGAGCTGAGTTGGTGGCGGTGGCGTAAAGTCGAGCGAGAGGATGGTCGTTGGTCAAATTATGTTTTCGCTATATTATGCTTCCGCTTTCGAATTATGTTTAAGTTTTGTTGAACCTTGTTTCATGCTAGACCTATTTGAATGTTTTGAGACTTATGAATTTAAGGGAAAATTTTATATCGTTAGTCCGAGCATGTGTAGGTTCTTTTGTTTGATGGATGTGTTTGTCTGATGTCATTAGCATGTAGCGCCCGTTTCTCGTTAAATGTTTTAATTTAATTTTTTTTTAAAAAAAAAACTCTGATTTTTATTAATTAATTCGATAAATTCTTTAAAATAAAACGGGGCGTTACAGTTTGGTATCAGAGCCAGGTTTGCTTTTCTGTAGACTGGTTCATATGTGATTAAGTGTTTAATGACCATTCGACCACTCGCTTTCGTCCCGCCGCGCCAGCTCAAGGTATGAGTTTTATTATTTTGACTATTATCGATATCGTGATTATGGTTTGTTCTTTCATTGGGGCCTAGGAATTTACCCTCTGTTCATACGGACTTGAACTCTAGTGGTATAGAGTTGAGTTCCAACTTTAGAATTGTTTATTGTGAGTTTTCGGGTTGGTGTTATCGAGTTAAGTTTGGTCCATAACAGTGCACTCGTTATGAGTTTCTGTTTAGTACCATCGAGTGAGAATCATTCGTAAGCTATCTCGAAAGAGAAGGCTTAAGTAAAGGGAACAGACAAACAAAAAAGTCCCGGATGTGTGGATTATTCGGAAGTCTGCGACTACTGTGGCTAGAACTATTAGACACGTGTAGAATCCGGCCAATGGGAACCAGGAGTGGAGTCTAAGTGTCGGTTTCATGTCGATGATCCGACCACTTATGCGTGTAGATTCGTGGGAATCGGGTTAATGGCTGATTTTCCCTTGTTATTAATTGTTCGTTTTTATCCGTTCATTTTCTCGTTAGTTCGTCTTGTGGAATTCTTCGTGGGTATTAGAACTCTGTTGTTGAGTTATTGATACCCTCTTCTTTTGTTATGTATGGCTGAGTTGTTTCCAAATTAATTCGAGCCTTGACTTGTGATCCGAACCTTCATTCCGTGATTGTCGTACTTTTAAGAGTTGGGTTTGGAAAACCTCTTTTTGAAAACCTTTCATTGGTGACTATTTGGTCGCTGATTTGACCCTATAAACTCGGTTGATAAGCTTTGAACTCTTCTGATGAGTAAAAGTCCTATCTCTTATGTTTCATCTTGAGCAAGAACCAAGTGATTATCGATTGTATGCTGGATGATGTGGCCAAAGTTCTCCGAGGGCGCGTCCAGTTTTGCTGGTTTTTTGATCTTATATGTGATCTGTTTTCATTGTTGTTTTTGAGCCCTGAAATCCCGTCGTCTCTTGTTGTAACCTTCTTGTAAACTTTAGATCAGCCTGTTGCCTTTCATGAGGAACAGGAATCGCGTTTTTGTTATTTTCTTTTATTTATCGATAATTGCGCCGGAAATTCGATCGTTGCATAGTCAGTTTTTCGTGTAAATCGCAACAGTTGGGGTCTTTTATTTTCGCTATTTTTGGCATGCTTCTGGTAATCTGGGAACCTCGATGTCTTCATGCGAATTGTAGTTTTGTCTCTCAGGATTCAAACGGCGCAGGATTCATTTAGGGAACGCGTTCAAGATACGAACTTCGTGTAATCAGATTTTTGGAAATTTGCAGCAAAAATTAACGTGCGAGTTTGATCAGTTTTCAACCCTTTAACCTACCGTTCACGCCTTTGCTACCGGAGTGCTATTCCTTTGTCCTTGATTACTACCTTTCGCTTAGTAGTCAAGTTTGAAATGTATTTCGTGACCCATTCTTATTATTTGATTTTCGTTCCGTGTCAAATTTGCTTGAATTTCTTTTCCTTGTGGAGAATTTTGGGATGAAGTTGAGCATCGAACCTCAGTTTCTATTGATCCTTATCTGATATCGAACCGTGTGCAGTAACTTCGCTAAGTCGGTGCGAAAGTCAACTTGAGAATCGTTGCATACCTGATCGGGAGGAGCCTCGACACCTTTCTAGGGATGTTTGTTATTGGAGAATCTTTTAAGGAGGGTAGTCGAGCCAGATGTAAGCACATCGTGCGGTGCAGAACCTTCTTCGTTTTCGAATTGCATTCATAGTTATTCTTTGAAAACTCTCGTTCTTTTTCCCTTCGGAGTTTCGAGAGTGATCCTTTGTATTTCCTTGACTTTTTGCAATCCTTTGAACACTCTTGTTTTTGATTCGTTGGAGTTTCCACTTCAAGGTTTGTAGAGAGCGCTCGTAAGGCGAAGTCCATCGGAAGTTTGGAAATCAAGATTGGCTAGGTGTTCCAGGTAATGAGGTTAAATCCGAGCAAGCAAGGAAAAGAAGAAGGAAAACAAGAAGAAAAGAAGCTAACAAGCTCCAACTACCTCTTCGCCCCTGTCCTTGAAGTCGAGCCTCTGCGCCCCTATAAAGTAAGCTATTTCAATGTTCTTATTCTCCTTCTTTCGTTCTGAGGCTTTCTTCTCTTATGATATTTATAGTTGGATCGCGAGGCTCTATCTTTTTCTTTGTTGCCTAAAGTCTAGCGATTTTCTGTCTTCTTCTTTCTTTTCGGATTGGAGTAGAGAGTGAGGTCAATTACACCTTTCTTTGACTTCACTTCGCTTCGTTCGTTGGGGTAAAGCCATAAAGTAATCCTTCTATAGAATATGTTGCTACCTGGATAGCTTGGATACCATTAATCCATTGTCTCGTCACGCTGATCAACTCGAGATATCTCCGTCTAAGGTGAATAGAAGAGAAGAGAAAAGAACAGTTCTTCGAAACGAGATACTTTATGGGGCCTGTCCTATATCCTTAGATTCTTTCATTTCAATAGTTACGATTTCCTGTCTTTTATGGCATCAATACAGCCAATGACGAAAGACAGTCGTAAGTCAAAATGCTGCGTAAGAACCAAGGTGCGAATTACCTATTTATAGTGAGAAGAAAGGTTCGACAAAGTTGAGGAGATGGTTCAAAGCCTACTTCTTTTCTATTTAATAGGGGGCAACTAAAGGCCCACATATCCCATAAAGACTTTTTTACATGAATAGCAAGAACCAGAAATCTCTTCTATTAAGTAGTGCTCAGGTGAATCTGAATATATAGTAAGTCATCCCAGTAGAGGATGCCTTAGCCCCATTTCTTTACTTGAAGAAGTCCCCAGTTAATTTGACTCCCAAAAGGCGGATCTTCTTTCAAGAAACTGGGAATTGACAGGTCAATTATATCGAGCCAACTTTAGAAGCGAAGCGCAGTGAAGTCATAAAACTGGTCGAGTGAAGGTGTAATTGACCTTTCTTTCTAATAGGATAATACCTGCCTCAAGGCTTACAAGCCATTAACGATGGATTAGCCGAACCAAAGGGGAGCCGCTCTTATGCAGTTTACTCGCTGACCTCAATTCATGAGTTAGACTTCGAGTGGTGATGCCATCAAAGAAGGAAAAGGACTTCTGGGAACTGGGCTCTAATGCCAATGGCTTAATCTCTATGACTTCACTGCGCTTCGAAAAGTTTGTTGGGTCAAAGACCTTTGGTCCCTGTCCGTTGACGGAAAAGAGAAAGGAAGATTGAGCTCGTCAGTGACCATGGAGAAACCAGCTTTGAACATGACATTCGTACCCAATGCAACGAAGTTGGCTGGCATTATTGTGATCTTGAAACCCTTGCTAGGTGCTACTCGGTACGTTACTCTTCTAGGGGGTGTGCTCATCACAATGAAAGATGGGTTGCAATAATCAGTTCTCTCGTTGGTCTTCTGCTAAAGAGCAACAGTCGTAACAAAATCTTTTTTTTTTTAATGTCGGATGAAGGAAATTACTTCACTTATCCCCATCTATTCTGGAGAAATCGGTACACCATCGCCTCTCGTAGACATTCGCGTTCCTGCTTGAACTCAATTGAACTGAGGCTCGAAATGTGAAGACAGGCCGATGATGCAATAGTTAGCGGACAAATAGTCTTCAGTAGTTGGTGATGTCGAAATCTTTCATACAGAACGAGCTAATAATGCAAGAGCGTAGTAAGGGCGCGGGAGCATTCTCCACGAGCATCCTCTCATTGGACTCCCCAGTGGTTCGTTCCTTTCCTTCATAGTCGAGCATCTGAAAACCTTTATAGTCGAGCTACCTTCAGGTTCGATATAATTGACCTTAGCACAAGTATGTACTAAGCTCTTCAAACCTTTATTCCAACCAGGTTCCAAGGTGCTATTCATAGATCCGGGTTCCCCCTGCCTAGGGAAGCAGATCTGTGCTCTAAGGAGCCTTAGCCATACCATGTAACTACAACACGAGGGACCTAAGGAAGGGCTTTTTCAGAAAAGGTGGTGTCAAGAATAGGTAGCAAAGGTCAGCAAGCATAGCTAGATCTAAGGTATCTGAAAGTATATCCTACCCACCATCACCTTCTTTCTACTAGAATATGTGAACAGAGAAATGGGGAGATAGGAGAGCGAAGTGAGACTCAAAGAACGAAGTGAAGTGAAATCTCTAGAGAGGAGAGAGGTAATTGACGAAGCAAAGTTCAGTCATAGAGAGTTTGGGGATAGCTTGAAGAATGCGGGGAAAGGACCGTCATTTGATTTTGACTCGCCTGGAACTGACTTCTGATGCCCTTCTCGCTAAAGAATCCATGTGCCTATATTTTATGAGAAATGAATAGGAGGTCTCTTATCAACTGCTTGCTTCTCCTCTCTTTTATCCTGGTTTTGGTAGGCATTTACCAACAAAAGAGGTAATTGAGAATGGATAACACACATTCTAGTTTTGGCTTTCCATTTCCTCTGGAAGAACTTTCTACCCCATTCTTCCTCTCCCCTTCACAGACCGATTTTTTATGGTCCTAAAAACCCATCCACTAAGGGAAAGCAGAGCAACTTGGGAATGAAAGACATGAAGGGCCTAACAAAAGGCTCGATGTAATTGACCTATACAAGATGACTACCACACTTGAGTCGAAGAGGTCAGCTATTGCTATTGGATCAGCGGATTAATTCCTTACTTATTCTTCTATGACTGAACTTCACTTCGAAAAGTTTGTTTCCTTCACAGTCGAGACTCACTTTGTTCTCCTTTGGTCTATTCGCCTATAGGTTCTTCCTCATTCACTTGTTGAAGCCTTAGCACCTAGCGGTAGTGGTTCGCCATCTGTCTCCACATCTGTTACATCAGACCCCTTTTTGATCATTTTAATAGAGGGGCCGCTTATTTTGCGTTGACTTCCAAAAATCTTTAGTGAAAATTAGATCTACCCTTTTTATTATATATGCAACCACCGAGTTTTAGGGCTCCATCAAGGGTCGATGTAATTGGGGAAGCAATACAAGATAAGGTTCGTCAGACTTTCTCATTCCTCCGGGTCAGAGTTCTCGTGGATCTCCCTATTACCGGGAAACCCACAGAAGTCAGAATGGGAAGAGGGCAATTATCATAGCGCCTACGGGTTGGATTGCTCATGTGTCCACGGGACAAATCCCATTTGAAATGGATGGTGTGAGTTTGTCAAATGCTCGACAAGCCGCTACATTAGCGGCGCATAAACCATGTTCGTCAACCAAGTTTGTTCAATGGTCGTCACGTAATTGGTTAGTGGGTAAAAAGCGGGCCGGGATTCAAAAGAAAGAATTAGGCGAAGTCTTTGGTCCTGAACGACGGAAGTGGAAAGACACTAAGGGAGGTCAATTACATCGAGCCTTTATTTTGGTAATCGCCGAAATTGTACGATGAACCATTTTGTTCCAGGCGTACAACCCCGAAACGTTACTCTTTTAAAAGCCGGGCCCAGTTTAAAAAGTGATAGTAAGAATAAATAAAAAAGTCACTCGAAGCTCTGCCCTTTGCTTTGCCCCGTGCTGTCTTCCTCCAGTTGCCCCCACCCAATAGGCCGAAAAAGGTTGCAGTCAATTGCCCTTCCCGTTCTCATCAAACAAAAGACTACCATACACGTCTTTTGTCGGCAAGCTACCCTCGCCTACCTCATATATAGGCATTTCTATCCGCCCGCGCGCGAGATCAGATCTGCTACTCTACTACATCATAAATAAAAAAGAGGTGACGAAGCACAGTTAGCGTAATATACATAAGGGAAAGCAGCTAGCGTGAAACTTCTATGACTTCGCTTCACTTTGTTCGTTGGGTTAGATTAGGGCTGCGGCCTCGTTATGACCTTTGACTTTGCATTAGCTCCGTTCGGCCTTACCGCCTCGGAAGGCCTTCACTCCCTTCTTTAGCTTCTTAGTCTTTTATTCTTCGGTGTCCCGAAGGTGTATGGTATTTTATGGGAAGAAGTCACAGGATATGTACTAAACCCTAGCACTCAAAAACGTATCAACCGCACTAATCCTTGTGCTAATTATTTCCGTGCGTTCGGACACTTAGCCTATATAGAAAAAAGCCGTCTTCTTTCTTGCTTTATATCCGATATGCTCACCTGTGCGCCTCTTTCCCATTATATCTTGTCAATAGTGAAAGTTGCAAATGTTCAGGATTGGCTACAATTTCAAATGGGGCACGGAAGCGAGGTTCGATGTAATTGTTCGTGGAGAACATCGAACTGAGTTGACCTCACATCAGAGCTTTGCTCTTGACGCTCTTGATGGTATTACCGCTGCCTTATCTGTCATATAGGAGGAGTTGCTGCTGCAGTTGCCGCTTTTGATCTTGGTCCGGTCCCGTGCTTCGAGTGAGTCTTTGTCCAGTTCTGGTTCTTAGATAGAAGTCAGCCAGTCGCAAGCAAGCAAGCGTGCCAGTAGCTGTCCACGGAAGCAGATATCTGTGAACAATGAGGAAAGAGGCGAAACCATTAGGGCACTCCAAGACCTGGAGGAAATCATCAGACCCCATTTCGGTGCCATTGCAGTGGGACAAGTCTAAACCGGAAGTTTTTCGCCAGGTTTCATTCTCTTTCTTGTGGATTGGATGATGAGATTCCATTAATATAAAGTCATTCGTAAAAGAGCTTGCATTCTCCTCTGTCTTTTTCTCCTGCTGGTCCAGGGAGAAAGCTACTATCCGTTTACTTTATAAGTGAAAGCTAACCGGAGAATGAGCGAACAAGCCAAGAGCAGTAAGAGTGAAAGCTAGCCTTATTTAGTAGATTAGCAAGGCAGCTAGTGTGATCTCTTCTATTTAATCTCTTAAGCGAAGAGGAAAGGCAGCTACTCCTAAGAGGCAACATATTAGGATCTGCCATTAAAGACGGAAGCACCTAAGTTAACGGCATGTGTACGCGAGCAAGGGAGTTAAGGCCGTAGAGCAATAGATCGAGTCGATCTGCCAACCCTGAAAAGAGTCCGAGATGAAAGCCCTTTCACAGGTCCACTCAAAGCATTCCTTTCATCTTCCAACGAATTAAGCCAACTAACCATTAATGACTAGTTCGAAGCCTAAGGCATAGGATTAGCTTAAGGCAGAAAGCCTGGAAATCTTCTCTTATCTCCACGACCTGGGCTTTGATGTACCGATTGGTAGTATATCAGCTATTGGCTAACTTCCTACTTTTGAACGAGCGAATAGACTAACTTCCCTAACTACATGAACCAGAGCTTATATGACGTAAAGGGCAGCTATACAGGAAAGCATGGATCAGCAAGATAGCATAAGAGTTTTCGACCTTCTTTCTTATCGCGGTGTGGGATCGACGTCAAGGAATTCCCCCTTCCTTCTAGTCTAATCGAGTTAATAGCCCACCCTCCACCATGAGTTCAGAGTCGACATCCGCAAAGAGATAGGGGCGAGAGCCGGTGACGGTAAATACACGTTCCGAACATGAGACTTCTGGAACCCGACAACCCATCGATTAATAGAACTGGCCCGGCCACGGGTCTAACCTTGATTCCCAAGTCCTAGTTTTCTGTCTTTCCTGGAACTTCTTCTGCCATTCTTTGCATTCGACCTAAGGAAAGAATTGGCCTATCAAAGGTGCTGCCAACGCCTTCTTAATTGATTCGAATGCTCTTGCTTGCTTTTCACTCATCAAAATAGAAAAATTTATTGATACTGAAAGGTCAATTACACCTTTCCTTCACTTCGCTTCAGTAGCTCGCCTCACTTGTACCTAAAGCTTCGGTGAAGCCTACCATCCATTCCTACTTTGAAAAGAAATACTCCCACCCCTTCGGGTACCCTATAGAGGGAAATACGATAGGAAAGTCAAGACTGAAGCACCTCAGATTTGAGCTCATTCTCTTCCTCTCCCAAATCTTTTCTTCACTTCGCTTCGCTTCGTTCTGTTCCTACCAATCGATCGTATAGTCAAGCTTCCCTTCACTTCGCGTCGCCAATACTTTTGACTTCACTGCGCTTCGCTTCTTTCCTTTCGACTATTTTGCCATGCGAAACTCTATTCCATCTCCCCTTCTCCAGTCCGGGAATAATAAACATAGACCAAGCACGACGGAAGGAAGGTCAATGTAATCGAACGAAGTTTTGTCATAGAGGAGAGGAAAGGTCTCCCACAAACTCAGCACTTAAGAGAATATCATATAGTGTCAGTTTCTTTTGATACGAAAACCATCCGCCCAGAGTTCCCGATCGTCCACAGAGGCTTGGAGAGAAAGGCCGTAACGGAGTTCTGTTATCGATTTCCGGGGAATGAATACCATTTCCTTACCCTTTCAAGAAATTCTTTTCCTTCACTTCCCCCACGATGCCACTGTCCGAAAAAGCAGATCAAAGACTTATCCTTAATAGTCAGATAGGATCGTAGGCATACGTTTACCGGCTTCGTGGGGTATCTAAACCACTCGAGGCTAAGCTCTATTGGGCGCTGCTTTCTTGATTCACTCCATGACAAAGAACGCTCTTTTTTCTACTTTTTTTTCTTTCTTCTCTTATTCTATTTCGACTTGACTTTCGAGTCTTTTCCTTCACATAATATATTTATATTCATTTTAGTACCACTTTCCAATGTTAAGATCTTTAGCTATGTACCATCTCTTTATGAGATTTAGTCCAGGTATTTGAAAATCACGATCCGAGCCATTCATGCTATGATTGGAAGTTGGGTACACGAGCCGAATCTCCTACTAAAAGTAGTATATCCTCTTACTCCACCCGGTATAAGGAAAGTCTCTCCTTTTAGCTAGTGTTTCAACAGGAGATAGTAGAATCCACGTTTTTCAATCCGAGGTTTCAGCAGAAGTTGTCGTCAGTTCCGATCCTTTCGTCCGATTTAGGGGCCTTATTTGGCACTTTATTTAATCTGCCGAAATCAAAAGATTTCAAACCCAAGGGTAAAGTAAATGGGTCTCCGGAGGACTTCTCATTCTTCTTCATATATTGAATTAGTCATTCCTCCCGATTTCATCCGAGGTATCAGAACAAAAGCCACGGAGGCCTGCTCTAGAGGGCCATTTCTCGCGAGTTCCTTTACTGAAATAGAAAATATGACATTAATGATGAATGACAAGACATATGCAGCTCTAGAGCAAGGAATATTTTATTTTCTGTCTCCTACTTGTATTGTCAAAAGTCAGATTTGGTTCGTGTTCCGTGTAGCGCACCTTTCTATTCTAGCTAATGAAGCTGCTCTCTAGTCCGAGGTATTCCACCACCTGTTAACCACGTATTTGATCTGAGGCATTCCCCTTCCCTTTCGACCCGAGCAGTCCAGGGACCGATCCCGCTTCTGATCCTGGGCAAGATCATTTGGATAATACCAATCCAGTAGCTAACGCAGATCCCGCAACTCTAGGTCCTATGGGTCTCCCAAGCATTCCACCACCACCCTGTCGGTATTTGGATATTTGGCATCGATCTCGTTTGTCAGCTTATGATGGAACGACCGATCCCCCTTTTGAAGATCATTAGGAAAAAGGATATGCATCTGCCAATTACACAATTCTGTAGCCAATGCTGCTTCGGAAGCGGAAAAGAAAGAGGATTGGCAAGGACAAAAAGGGGAAGAGAGCTAGCGTATAACTTCCCGTGGATCAAGCGATGGAACATACCCCCTGTAGGGGGATACTCGAAAGGACTTTTTATGCCCGGTAAATTAAGTAAGTAAGACAGATTATCTGTCAGATGTAAAGCCCGGAAAATACAACTATTGGAAATATATCCCCTGCTCTTGACCGATCCTTGCCCTTTCTTCTTTGAACATGTCCAACAACTGGTCAAGTGAATATGTCTTATAATAAGATATTTCTATGACTGATAGCAAGGAAGATAGGAGTAGTCCTAGGGTGAATCTGAGTAAGTCCTTTGATGTTTATGATGCTCTTACTACCAGTTGTTTTTAGTTGTCCTTCGCGGAGTCTTCTTTCTAGTCCTTGCCCTTCGAAACATCCGGTATTCAACATGATATACTGGCCATTGATGTGATGAAAGACTATTCCTTCGGTATATCTATCTTACAATATCACATCCGGGAATGGAAGACATCGGGTTGCCGTCTTGCCTTCTTCGGCTGCTATGTGCGGTCAAACATCTGCTATCTCTTCCATACCTAGCCATAATGAGCAGCTCGCAGCTCACTGGCAACGGTATAAAGAAAATAGGACTTTTCCTTCCCCCGGCTATGACCGAACAGTCTGATTCCTTCAAAAACCAGCTCTCAATTACATGGATCCTCATCTTCGACTTCTTCCGGTTCCAGTTGGGAGGATAGAAAGAAATCTGATCAACAAGACGTGTTACGAGAGAAAGCTAAGGCTGGGCAAGGGCTGATTCAAACTACCTGTATCTGTAGTCACTCCTCAACCAGCAGCCGATACCTATCGTCCTATTAGTCTTAGTGGACCATCTTCGGAAAAAGCTATGTCTCAGAATGTGCATACCTCTTCCGCATGGTCCGCCTATGGCGATTGGTTAAACATTGAGTCAAGGGCTATGCCAACTCCAGCTACAGTCACTTCTATTCTATGATAAAATACGGGCGTTCAGAACTCGTGATGTCTCCGACGACAGAGAACTCTGCCTCTGTGTCCGCATACGGGGATTGATTTGAAAAAGGGGAAAGGGCTATGCTATGAGTGAAGACCCAGTCTTCTGCCAGCAATGCCTTGGATCATGCCTTTGATGTGGAATCCTCACCTCCAACTGGTCCCCCCTATTGGGGTTTTTTCAGATGGGTGACTTGGATACCTAAGTTGTTAGTTTAGTAATTATTAGTTTAAGACAAATCCGTAGGTATGCAACGCGGAATAACCGACCGGTTAAGAGATATAGGGAAGGGAAGAGGACATGAAGAGGAAGCAATGAAGGCTCGATATAATTGACCTCTTCTTTCCTGTTTGCTGTAATTGTAAACAGCCGATTTGCTTATTCTATGGATCTCTAATCATCAGTTTGGACACTCGACAGTAATAACAAATAGAACAGGTAAGGTACGTTTAGTTTAGTACGGACTAAACCTTTTCAAAGGGCTTTAGCGGACGTCTTCCTTCAATCGAGGTCTCGCTTTCCCTTGGATTGCTTTGCATCCTTCCTGCTTGAAGGAAAGTGCTATTTATTGCCACTCGGAGAGGGACTTTTCTTATTTTATTTACTAATGAATATCATATATTCGTGAGCAGATAAGATCAAAGAAAGCAACCTACAGTTGTACCCCATGCATACTATACTCAAACTAAACGAAACTCAAAGGATAGCGGACAAGCATATATATAATAGCTTGTATTCAATTAGCTTAGCTAGGGAGGGAGACAGGGCTAAGGCGGATGCCAGTCTAATCTTCCTTAGAATGGCTTGTACAATTGAACACGAATCGCTTGGTTTAATCAGTAGTATATAGTCTAAGGAAGATGGCATAGAAATAGAATGATATATGTCATATGAATAGGAATAGGTTGGAAGTGGTTCTTTGACAGAGTTGAAAGCAAGTGGGCAAATAGGTTCTTTTCTTTCGGAAGTTCCAGGGCTTGTTTGCGACTAGCAGTAGCTAGCAACGGTGTTTGACACATCTATCTTGCTTGATGTATTAGCTGAAGAGGTCTTTCTCCTCTCGTACCATGCCTGTTGAAAGTCAATCGTTTCTAGCCTTAGACTCTTTGAGTGTTTACAAGGGCTTTCAGAATAGTGAATCCAATAGGAAATGCACGGATAGAAGGAGCTGCTTTGGGAGAAACCATCTAGTTCATTTTCCTCATCCTATTACTTACTGAACACCTTCACAATCCGACGCCACTAAGATAAGAATAGAGCAAGGGATGTACTTAGTAGTTAGGTTGTGCACGTGGTTACTTATCTCGAGTCTCTTTAATTAAGAGCCTATGATGATTATCAAGCCCTTCTGTAACTGACGTATTTTACAACAGGGGATGATTTCACAGTGACTTTATCTGTCACACCGGCAAGGAACGAAAGTACTCTGTCCCAGAGCCTATGATTGCAAATCAGACTAGGTATGATTCACTTCCTCCAAGCTCCCCGGGTCACATAAAGTCAAGTTAGGATCAAAGCATTGATCTCATTCCCCATTGGAAGCGCCAAAGGGTTATGGTGCCTGCTTCCTCCATTGCTGCCTCTACTCCAGTTGTAACGCCCCACTTTATTTTGAAATATTTACCGAATTTATTTATTAAAAATCACAATAATATATTTTTTTTTTCAAACTTAAATTTATTTTAAAACTCAGTGGGCGCTACTTATTTTACCAAAAGCTTTTATCCGTAAAAGCAAACACATTAAACAAAGATAGCATGCTAGAACATTAAATCATAAACCTCACTAGCATTCATTAAATACCAAATCATAAGAGATAATGCATAACTCCCCAGTTCAAACGACATGATCAATATCCAAATCACGACATAAGTTCATAAACTAAGCGGAAGCAAAATTAAATAAGCAATAATAAATGTCATAACCACCACTCGTCATCTCGTCTCGTCACCCGCCAACTGCTTAACCTGCATCAGTTACGAGCAGGTGGGAGTGAGTACAGTTAACTATCGTACTCACACTATGCACATGAATAACTTATAAATGGTATGGTCGCGGTATGAACATAAACAATTAAATCATGTCACATCTCTAGTCACATCAATGACTCTAGTCTCATCAAAGACTCACTCATGTACATTTATGCTCATCAAAGCTAAGCCATGCCATATCAGTGAAACATGGGAGTGCGTGCCACATCAATGACACGGCCTTCTCATAGGTCTTTATGAGATTCACCTCACAGGGTAACCGTATCTTATCATACGGGGACAACCGTATCGACGGCCATCAAGCTCACATCAATAGGATACATGTTCATTTTCATACATAGATCACACCAAACTTTTATCATAAATAAATCACACATATGCATAGATAATTTTTGAATAACCCACCTGGAAATTTCGGATTGATGATAGCAAATCAGAAAGGATGAGGATCGAGGATTGACTCCTCAAACACCTACATTATGTCAAGATCCTACAATCAATATCTATCTTGACTTTAATCGGAAATCACAAAAACAGACCTAGTCGAACTTGTTTCGACTAAGTAGTTCGTGAAGTCCTGTGGATGTTAGAACAATAAGATTCGGCACTAAACTCGACCAAACCACATAAGGGTGTTCACATAAATCCATCTAAGGATTGACCAAGTCAAACTCACAACAGAACGAAAAGCAAGTCAATCACAGATTTAACTTCAAAATCTTAGTTTAGAATTTTTGGCTATTAATCACATGAAATTCATTGACCAGGCTGCCTACGACTTATGCCTTGAAATTTTACACAAAATTACATCTTCCATTATTAAGTAAAACCACAAATTTTCAGCTTCAAACTCGAAATACACTATTTTATAAAATTCGAACAAGATATCAACAAAATGGGAACATCAATTCATACTTGAACTTAATGAACGAATCAGGACTTGAAAATTTACCATAACAACATATATCATGCTAGAGGCAATGTGTAAAAATCTCAACCCTTAACATTAACTGCTGCTATTTTTAAAAATTCATACGAGATTCAGTAGTTTATCAAATTTAAATCAAAACCGAATCAAAATAGATTCCAAAAATTCCCATCTTTTACCAGCATGATTCTACACATAAAATAGGCATCTCAGTACAATTTCAGAATTTTGCATCAAACAACCGAATTTATAAAAATTCAAACAATTTTCAGCAGATTCGATAAATAATTTATTACCCATATCAAATCAAGTCCAAAAATTCGAAAAATTTAACGCAACATATAAAAGTCACAGGGGCATGACATATTCGAAAATCAAACATATACGTAAATGACATAAACGATTTAAATGAGACGGGATCGACTAGATACCGTTCTCGGGATTGATACTCGAAAAGGGAAATCGAACGGCCTCGAACGGCTCTTGGCTCTCGGCTAAGGATCGACCCGTATCTCTTCTCGCACGTACGGGCTGCTCAAAAGAGATTCGAAGGGAAATGTCTGCTCGATAAAAGCCTCGAACGGCTGCCATTCTTCTCGCACGGGCCCGAAAGAGTTGCCGTTGCAGTTCGGGCTACTAAACAAAGGCCAACGGGGGACTCCTACTGGTCCATGGCGGCCTGACACTCGTGAAGGGGCGGAGCAGCGGCGGACGACTGCTGTGGCTCAAGGAAAAAGATCGCGATGCGAACTCGCGGACAGGGATCGCCGAGAAGAGCCTCGTGGGGTTGCTGCTGCGCGAACGGGAAAATCGCCGGAGGTAGAGCATCTGGTCGCGGCAGAGGGCTCACGGCGGCGCTGCGAATCGCCGGAGAAGGAGCAGGCGGAGGTTCTGCGATGGTGACGCGGCGTGGCAGAGTCTCTTTTCGCGGCGCGGTGGAAGCAAGTCGCCGGACTGAGGGAGTTCGTCGTCGGAAATTCATGGGCTTGCTCGCGGGAGGCTCAGACTCGCTGGGAAGAACGTTGAACAGGGTCACCGGAGGTGGTTGCTTCACGCCGGCGATGATGGTGGCGAGACGAGAAGATGACGACGAGGATGGTGATTGGATATGACTATGGCGACGGGTTCAAAAACGAGAGAGAGGGTTGATGATGAAGGAGATGAGATGGTGAGAGATCGATCGATTTTCTGACTTGCGCGATCGAAGAGAAGAAAAGAAATCTGAGTTAAGGGAAGAAAGCTGCGGGTGAAGGATGTTGAGGGGAGAGGATTAAAGGCACGGTTTATGCAATTAGGGTTAATCCTTTCCTAATCTTCAAGACACCCACACACACTCATGGGCGGACTGGGTCGGGGCTTGAGCGTGGTTCGGGCTCGCGGGTTTAAGTGGCCGGGTTTGGTTCAAACGGTTCAAGGAAAAAGATTCTCTCGGGCTCAATATTCACGGTTAATTTAGCAAAAACTAAAATGGCTTGGTTCGAACGATAAATTAAAATAAAATTTGGCTTTAATAATAAAATATATTACACACATTATTAATTAAATAGTAATACACATTTTAGCATTTAATAGACAATTAGGCATTTAAATAAAATAATAATAAAAATAATAATAATAATGACAATAATATTAACTAAAAAATTAATCCAAATATTCCATAAACGAACGGGGCGCTACACCAGTTGTCCAACCCTCTTCTCGTACCCGTCAGCAGCGTGCTCAGAGTGCTGCTCTGTCTCAGCCCCCAGCTACTTCTACTGGAGAAGAGCATAGAGTGGTTGAAGATGGGTAATCGGAAGGATTCAATTCTGCCCGCCTCGATGATGTAGTGCAAAGCATCGTCAATCCTTTGTCTGCTCAAGCCTCTGGTTCTTCACACCCTCCTGCCCCAATTCGTCAGCCTACTGCAGTCACTACACCCTTATCTGCCTCTTCTTCTGGTGCCAAGGTAACTTCTTTGACTTGAGACTACGAGACTGAGGACTTCATCTCGTCAATTACATCAAACCTCTGGGCGTCCGTCCAGTACATCTCCAATTAGCATGTCTTCTGCCTTTGTATGCTAGCCAGGGAGCGACGGTACTTCCACTCGAGAAAAGGTAGTCTAGCTATAAAGAAAAAGAAGTGGAAGTGGACCTCTCAGTAACATGTGTATACGTGGGTAATATTTAGCTATGAATCCTGTCTACTCACCTCAATTACATCGACCCTCGCTAACCTTCACTAGAGCTTGCTTTGCTCTAAGTTGACCTCTTATTCGCTCCTCTCCTTTCAGTCGAGAAAATTACATCGAACCTCCAATGTACAATATTTAGAGATTTTCTTTACCTTTCTTTGACTTCACTTCGCTTCGAAAAGTTTGTACCGTGGGAAATCCAAACTTTCTTCCGGCTAACAAATGATAGGGGGGAGTCAATCTTGCGTTCTCTCTCTTAGGTGGGTCAGTCTCGCTCTCTCTTGTCGGTAAGTATATCTATCGTGGTATTGCTGTCATGCCGTTCCAGTAGTCTTTGTTCATTATTAGTTTAGAGGTATAAAAGACCGTAGCCAAAAGCAAGGGATTCCCGGGGCCGATGCTCACTCATAACAGAAGGTCTTACAAGACTGGGCGTCATTCGAATAGCACTCCTTGGGAACAAAAAAAAGCTGTTTTGATCAGCAAAAGCAGATGCCTTGCTTACCGCACATTTCTATGAAAATATGAGATGCTCTCTCATTCACGTCTTTGTGACGGGCGGTGTCTACCGCTGGCCGGTTATTGCTGCTTTCTGGAATAGAACAGTCCACGAAAAATCGGAATTACATAGATAGGTTGTCTCTCGGCGGCGGCCTCCGAAAGAATTCTTTGCTAGCGACGGGCTCCAATATATGGCGATTTTTCTTGCGCGAAAGCAGAAATTCGATGTCATTAAAATCAAAATGATGACTGAAATGAGGAGGTTTTCCAAAGTGATAGCGCTTTGTAGGAAGGTCGACCACTACCTTGAGATGAGTCGATGTTCTCAAGGACGAAAGGTGTTAAACTGATGATGATCCTCTCTTCCGAACCAATGAGAATCTAAGCAGTGTCAATTTGTACTCAAGTAACGATGTTCCAGGACGAAGCCGAGTCCGTCGATGCGATGGTCTCCAATAGTCGATGTCGCAAGAATATAGGTTTGACAACTGATATGCATGACAAAGCGATGGATTCTCTTATCTAAAGTGATGCTAGGCTCTTTCGCTGGAAAATGGGTCACTACGAACCGCTAAAGATAGCCTTATGCACCGATGATTTTGCTGTAACGGCTGACACCCAAAACAGATGCTTTCAGCCGCGCAGTGATGTGATTCCATCAAGTAAGTTAACCCAATCCCGATGCAAAAATCTCACTAATGAAGATGCATCAGAGAGCTCCTTTCATACCTTCGTCTTGTACAGTGCTAGGCGGTCTCAATCGTCGTTGGCGCTTCCTACTCCTTCGGCTAACATGAGTGCTCCATTCTTCTTTAATATCTTTAATCTCAATTATATCGAGCCTCTTCAATTGCTCTTCCGGTGCTTGAACTATCATAGGCTATGCTTGGCGAGATCTCAGCTATCGGGCAAAGTCCAACTGTAACGCCCCAAAACAGTAATAAGAATAAGAACGGTTTCACTGCTCGACTATAAGTGAAATCCGTAAGTTCAGAAATTATTGAGTTATATTATTTATGCTAAATGTTCAACCATGATAAATTATTCTTTGAATAATTCTATCTCAAGTATAAGTTAAGATTAATCCATTAATTTGGGTTGGTAAATAATAGTAAGTCAATTCGAGAATTTGATCGACTCCGAACCCTAGTTTGGTTCCGAGTTAATTTTCGGGTAAATTCCGAGCATAGCCAAGTATTGGTATTTTTATACTTAGAATATTTTTCTAAGTGTATAATAATACCAAAGTCAAGTCTTGATCATTTAAATCGAACCCTTATAGCATAACCGAGCCCCGAGCCATTTCGCGCCCGAGGCCACCCGAGCCTTGTCCTAGGCCATGCCATGACCTTGGCATAAGTTGGTAAAATTATTCTAAGTGTTCTTGGACCCTTGGAGTACCTTAGGACTCGGCCCAAGACCACCACACACGAGCAGCCCTTTTCCCGCGCGCAGCCCGCTACCAGCGCCAGCCCAGCACGTCCCCGTGCAGCCCAGCAGCCCCTCGCGCCCAGGCCCAGTGCCGCGCCCCAGCAGCCCAGCGGCAGCACTGCCAGCCCACCATTTTGAGCCCAAATGGAGGAGGTCCGGCCGACTTCTTTCATGTACCATTAGTGGCGAATGTTAGGGACTTAATAAGGGTTATGTTAAGCTAAATTGGCCCTAAGCAAGTTTAGCCTAAGTCAACCACCATTAGCCCAAAGTGGAGCATGGGCACACTATTATTTTATTCACTTATGTAAGAGATTGTCCCCTTTGTCTTGGACCAACGACTAGAGCACTATCCCACACTTATTCCCTGCCCATTATGCTCTGAAAATGCACCAGAAGTCCATCCAAGGTCGTGCCCATCTATTCCCCAAGTCCCCATGCATGTGATGTGGTAAAATCCACTTAATTTGGCTCCCTTGACCAACATAGTAAGCTCCGCCCTCAACACCTATTTAAGACCCCTCCCTTAGTCCATTTTAAGCTCTTACACAATTTGGAGCTCGAGAAAAATAGTGAGGAGGGAGGAGAAAACCGAGAGCAAAGCTACCAGCCCTGCCGCCTGCGCGCGCGCCCCGGGGAAGGAGAGAAGGCAGCCACCTCGTGTTCCAGCCATTTTCTCTCGAGGCTTAGCAGTATCTAAGCATTCCTTAGATTTTTCTAAGTCTTGGGAGTTCAAAAGGCTCGGCCAAATCACACACCAACTCGAGATAAATCATTCAAAGCTGTACCAAGCCATTTCGAGCCCTAGCACTAGTTCTCCATTTCTAACCGAGGTAAGCTCGGGATTTTTGAGTTCATAAATTATTTTATGACATTTTAAGATTTTTCATGAAGAAAAACCGAACCATGCATGTCATTATATGTGATTTACGAATTTTTGTAATAAATGACCTTAAAAATGAAATTTTAGTAGCAAGCATGTTAAAGTCGAGATTATTAGCTAAATCACCCTTAAATATCATGTCATTGATGGTGTAAAAGTTTGAATAGAATTGGAGTTCATTACCTTAGTCAAATCATGCTCGAAATTATGTTAAAATGAGCCACCGAGGTCAATTATCATGCATGCAAGATATGGCATAAGTGCTAGCATACATAGTCATCATTTTTGATGTATAACATTCGGCCCTGGGTAGTTTTTCACGTTATGAATGTTGGTTCGGGAGTTAACCCACTCGGACGTGCCATTTAGGCCTTACCGGGTATCATGCACGTGGACCTGGGGTCAACTAGTTTTTTACGTGTTATTTGTGCTTGTTTTATCATGTTGAGATCATATGTTATGCATGTTGCCGGAAATAGTCGCCGGAGGTCCGGCAAGGGCCGACCTTGGTCACTGGCAGCGCACATAGCGCGGCAGTGCCCGGCCCAGCGCCAGTCCGTGCCCGCGCCAGCGTGCGCATGGCACCCGCAGCCCCGTGCCCGCGACAGCGTGCCAGCAGCGTGATGAAGTATCGTGTGTTTTCCCAACTCGATTGTCTCGAACCAAGCTTTGCCACGGCTTGTCCTTCGACGATAGGTGTGGACGACTTGGTTATTAG